AACCACCAGCCGTCTGGTTAGCAGGCAAGTGTCTTAGCCACTATGCTACCAGAGCTCCCCCAAAATGCTATAGCTCTTAAAATTTTATAATTGTGGTTATTAAGGCTTCTAAATTGCAGATATCCACATTGAAATGTTTGTGCTATATCTTCTTTGTTTCTCTTTGAATAGGGGCATGCTAAAAGAAAGTAAACTGTTCAGGATTTAGAAGCATATTCAGAATATTTTAGAACAACCAGTCATTCTCTGTATTTTGTTACTTGTTTTGCTTTGTATAGGCAGTCCTTGGGTTACGAACATCCAACTTAATGTACAGCCTATAGTTACAAACCAGCCACCATAAAGCATAAAAGTTCAAGATGCATACATTGGTTCTTAATAACAGTCACTCCTTTGTGATGTGCATCAAAACTTTATTACTATTACTGTATTATTATGTGAAAGATGTTTTAATGTATCTGGAAATGTTTCTTCAGTGTTTTTTATTCATGGGAAGTGTGCTATATACTATATACTAAGATAAACATTTGATATTAGGTATGACTTTACCTAACTGTTCTAATTTAGGAATGGAACTCGTTCATAATCTGGGGACTGCTTGTAGACTGATTGAAATTGTAATAATTTTCCTTCCCGTGATTGAAGAAAAAGACCATTACGATTAATTCTAAGCAATGGTTTGATGGTGGACAATCAGAATAAAGCTATATAGTTTACAACATAGAAAATGAGTTTTTCTTAGTGGTTAGAATTTAGGAATATATACCCAGAATAGGCTGTTGTATTGAACTTAATTAAACTCTTGGAAGTGAACATGGGTGACTCCTAGACATCCCATCACCTTTATTCTCTCAACTTTAGAGCCATAGATCTTTAATTAGCTCTAGGTTAATCCTAACTAGCCATCTTTGTTTTAGCTGACATTCAGTGGGAATATCCTATTGAGCCTCTCCTACAGTTTAACCTTGTCTGGAACTGGGTAATTATATTTATGATTCTTCTGTCCTGATTTAGCCCAAGACCTCAGATAAGTTTTTAAAGTCTTAATCATTTTTTAAACTCTCTGTGCATTTTACCTTTCCAGCATTTTTAATCCTACTTGCTTGTGTGCATGCAAAATTGCATTTGGAGGCTGTTTTCCTCGGTGGTGTTTCCTCTGATTTCCATACCTCTGATGGCATAGTGGATAAGGCATTTGGCTGCTAATCAGAAGGTCAGCAGTTCAAACACACCAGCTGCTCTATGGGAGGAAGATGAAACGATCTACTTCCGTAAAGATTTATAGCTTTGGAAACCCAATGGGGGTCTCTGTGAGTTGGAATTGACTCAAAGGCAGTGGGTTTGTTTTGGTTTTGGTAAATATATCAAGATGGCTGAACCAATTCTTAGAAGTACATTTGTTGTCAATCCTTATTCATGTTAGTGGTGTGTGGTCTTAAAAACATTTTAATTTTTATTTTGTGCTACCAAAGTTTCCCTTAAGATATGACTGTCAACTGTGTGCATTAGCTCTTTCCTAAGATATAGTGCAGCTTTAGAAAGCAGGTTCTGGGAGCTTGAGGAGCCAAATAAAGATTTAGAGAAATAACACACATATGAGTGATACATATTTAGTGATACATGTCCCTAATGAACACTGACATGCTACTTGTCCAGTCTTTTTAGCCCAGGTAGCCCATGGTGGAGTAGAAGAGCAGACATTTCCTGCAAGATGTTAGAGATCATTGATACTTTGTTCCCAGTCTTTGTTTCCTCAGTATTGGTAATTTGACTCATTTTCTAGTTGAGATATGAGGTCAACTCACACTGCTTTGTATTTCCCTTCACTGTATGAATGCATGTCTACATTATAAAATTGGGTCCTAGGGCTTTATGGCAAAGAACTTGCAGTCTCTTAGGGGCTTGGGCAAAAAATAGGATCTAAACCAGGTGTGAAGGGGGATAATGAATTCATACCAAGTAATTAGGGAAGATGTCATGTGGGAAGTGCCATCCCAGCCTTGGGCCTTTTTTATTGAGTAGTTCATATATTGGTAGAGACTATGATGACTGTAAATAAAACATTTCCACATTTGCTTAAAAACTACAGTTGCATCGTTGAAAAGGAAAAAACTTGCTTTGCTTTGGAGGTATGTTACTTCCTCAGGGATCTGAGGCTGTGGAAACGAGTGTGGTGGCAACAGCCTACAGGGAGTTCTGATTTCTAAGCCCTGGTTGATGTTAGGTCAAGGAGGGCATGTGGATCTCACCTCATTAGCCAGCTAATTCCCTTGTTTTGGTAGTGGTCTGATCCACTTTGTTCAGAGAGAGACTGAAGTCCTATTTGGGTCTGTGGGAGAAAGTGCCATAATCCATTTGTGATAAATACCACGGGCAGAGGAGGAGGTCACAGCAGTGTTCCTGCTACTTGTTTGCCAATCTTGAGATATTAAAACCAACACTAAACATCACCAGCTCTTGCCCCTTGTCCCAGCAGCAGTCAGGATCAGTGTTGCTTGGGTCAGACTGGTGACATACGTCAGGTTACATTCTGAATAAAAAGGTCACTTACAAAGAAGTTTTTGTCTCTCCTCACCAGCAGGACTAGAGTTAGCATTTACCATTTGACTTAAATCCATACGTTGAAGCCCTTATTCTATTTCCATTTTCC